GTTTCAAAAGTACCGGTTTGGTACTGGTATCGGATAAAACCTAAATGATACCCATCCCTACTCATGACCAAAGGTGAGGGTAGGAAACTAGATCAAACAGCCCTTCTGTCAATCTACCGCTCACCTGTCAACATACTCAAACTCTTCTGCTTGGATCAAACTACCATCTACAGAAGCAGAATCCAGGAGACCATCACCTGATCGGTGGTAGTAGGTGGAGTTTCTGGAGGCAGTGGCTCAGGTTGTTGGGAGACTGGTTCTGCATCTGTTGAAGGAGTGGCTTCCTCTGGTGCTTCAGATTCAGTGGGTGGAGTTGGGGGCTTGTGGGTTTCGTCTGGAGCAGGCTCCACCTTTTCCACTTGAGTTGTTGCTTTGATTTCATCTTCAGCTGGGCAGACGTCTACCATGCACCTGGTGAAGAGGAGCAGCCATCATTAACATCATAGAAGAGCGAACCAGACCTCCACAAAAGCTGCAGAGCTGATCCTTCCACTGACATCATCTGCACTGACAAGCAACAATTCACAGCAACGTTCATGTCAGAGTTTACAGTGTGAGGTGAATATCTCAGTGAGTTTCCTATGAGAAGCACGTGGGCACAGGAAAACTTACAATTGCAATGTAAGTGGCTTCTGTTTGAGGTATAATCTACTGTGGAAGGATCTGATAGGGAAATACTGACATTTGTACTCTTGGGTCCTGTTTTTCTAAATTATGAGACAAAATGTTTGCAACTGGTCAAACATTCAGACATAAGGTTGTACCCTGAACCCCATGGGGCAAATATCTGAGGTGAGATATTTTCTCATTTTTGCCGTTCACTGGATAACGTTGTTATTATGGGTAAGTGTGTACAGAGGACACAAATCACATTTAAACACATCAAATTCTTTCTAGAAATGGTGAGCCAGTTTAGTTTGGTTTATTTTGTTAATTGTTGGCGGTTATATTAGAAATAACAGGATGCTGTCAACAATATTTGAGAACATCAATATAATCGATTA